TTCATGAGGACTCCGCCCTCATGGCTTCATCACCTCCCAAAGCCCCACCACCTAATACCATCACATCGGGGGTTAGGAATTCAACATATGAACTTTGGGGGGATGCAACCATTCAGTCCAAAACATCTCTGAGCCAAAATTAAATGTACGCCTGACTCAACTCTGCCTTAGCTGTGTGAAAATTAGTAACAGGGAACCTCACTAAAATGGAGTGGGGAGGTTTTGGCAGGGGGAGCTTCACACCCTACTACTCAAGTCAGTTACAGTCCCAGCAGGAAGAGCCAGACTTGACCTTGGACATGGATACTACTCTACTCTTCCAGGTGGAGGAAGAGACATTTTCCTTATCCCTCCAGCAACAGCTCAGCCAATAAAAAGCCACCATATTTCAAACTCCCAGTTTAGGTCATGACAGCCTTTCCAACTTACCCCCTTTCTCCTTAAAAAAGCATGCCCCTCACCTGTTCCCAGGACATGCCTACAGTTCTTCCGCTGCTTATTCATTCTTTGGCGGGTAAAATAACTGGCCGTTTATATTTTTAAGGTTAATAGCTACATCCATCAGGTACCCCACTGCCACCAAGGTGCTGGGATGGGTGGAGAGCTGGGGGTGGAAGGAGACATCAACCTTAAAAGGATTGCAGTTAAATATCTTACTTCTGCAATGTTTACAAAAACATACACCCAGATGAACACATTGCTATGTTTTATCCAGGGCCCTGGAGGGACCCGTGCAAGCACAAGGGCCCTGAACCTGAAAATTGATTATTGTCAAGATAAAACCACCTGCATGAAATGGAGAGAGAATAATAAGGGGGAGACTATGCAGGACCCTGCAGTTTTTAGGAAGGAGTTTGGATTTTATTCTAAGAGCAACAGGAAAACATAGAGGGCTTTAAGAGAGGAAGACAGGGTGTAATGTGATTTGATTTATATTGTTCAAAGCCTGCTCTGGCTTCAGTGTGGACAGTGGGCTTAAGGGAGGCAAGTAACATATGGGACACTGCTGAGGAGGCTGGGGGACCTTCTCCAGGAGGGAGGTGGCTTAGATGAGGGTGGGCTGGGTAGAGGTGGTGAGAAGTGGTAGTGTGAAGGTGAGAGGTGGGCTTGCTGATGGACTGACATTAAGTAGAGGTGAGGTGGGCATCAAGGTTGTCTCCCAGATATCCTCTTGAATGGTTGCTGTGACACCATCCCGAGGTAGGAAAATGGGAGCTAGACTTGAGTTTGAATCCTGTCTCTACCATTCCCAGCTCCGTGATCCAGGACAGGTCACGTCTTCTCTTTGGGTCATCTCCTTACTGCAAAATGGGGAAGACTAACAGCTACCTTGTGAAGTTGAAGAGTACTGAAAACCACAGGGGCGCCTGGGTGGCTCAGTTGGGTGGGGGTCTGCCTTCGGCTCAGGTCATGATCCCAGGACACTGGGATCGAGCCCTGCAACAGGTTCCCTGCTCCTAATGGGGAGTCTGCTTCTCCTTCTGACACTCCCCCTGTCTCTGCTCTCTCTTTCTCTCTGTCAAATAAATAAATCAAATTAAAAAAAAAAATAGGGGCACCTTGGTGGCTCAGGTTATGATCTTCAGGTCCTGGGATCAATCCTTGCATTGGGCTCCCTGCTCAGTAGGGAGCCTGCTTCCTTGTCTCCCTCTGCCTTTCTTTCTCCTTGTACTCTCTCTCTCTCTCTCAAATAAATAAATAAAATCTTTTTAAAAATAAAAGAAAAAGGAAAACCCAGGCCCAAAATTATACCACTTAGGCTGAGTGCCTAAATTGGGACTTAATGAGCTAAGTGCAGTTTCAACCTCTCCCAGAAATGTAGTCTTAACTGGTCAGTCAGGAATTTTCTGATGGGTACACTTGAGGCTGCCACAGGAACCCTCTCCATTCCCCCCCCAAAAGATGAGTTAATCTGCAGAGTAAGATCCCTTGCCCTTGCCCCTAAGTGAAAGCAATCTTGCCTGAAACAAACCTTGTCTTTTACTGACTCTCATGCCACACTGCTTTTCCATAAAAACCTACTTTGTACTTTTCCTACTTCCTAGATGGGGTGCTGCCTGATTCATGAATCATTTAATAAAGCCAATTAGATTTTTTTTTAATGTACCTGGTTGCATAGGTGTTAACATGAGTAAATGAGACAATCTATGAGGAGGAGCCTGGGACGTTATCAATAACCTATATATTGGATGCCCTTGTTCTTCCAGGGTTTATTAGTATTTACTATGAACCTCAAGGGAGGAAACCAGCCTTGGATCCTTATTCTGTGGAATGATTTTTATTAGGTTCTAGCAATTGTCTTTGGCTATTGAAAGCTGTGATGTTCCCAGGCAGGAAAATAACTGCTGTCCCTAAAGGGTGGGTCAATGTGATTGATCTTTTTAATAATGACAGTAATAATAGCTGATGTTTCTTGAGCATTTATTATTGCCAGGTTCTTTACATGCTTCGTCTCATTTATCTGTGGCAATACCTACGGCACAGGTACTTTTATTAGCATCACTTCCACTTCACAGATGAGAAAACCTGAGGTTTAAGTGATTAAATAATTTCTCCAGGGACCTCTCAGGTAGTTAGTGGAAGACAGGAGAGTCCATCCTAGGGATCCAGAGCCCAGGCGTGGTCACACCACCTTTCACAATTGTTCTGTAGGGCCCGCCCCCTCGAGCTCGCGTCATCCCTTCTTTAGCGCCCCGCCCCGCCCCCGCCGCCCCGCTTAAGGGGATCCCAGGTTAGAGCTCTGACAGCTCAAACACCACGAAGGAGGCTCCCAGCCCCGCCCCCGCCCTATTGCCCCGCCCCTCTCTCCGCCCCATATCTACCGCCCCGCCCCTCGCCCCCCATCCCTGGCCAACTGCCCCGCCCCGTCCCTTGCAGCCCCGCCCCGTCCCTTGCAGCCCCGCCCATCGCTCAGCCGCGCAGCCCTGACGCCTGGCAGCACTGGGAACGAGGCACTTCTGACTCGACGCCCGGACCCTGGCGACTGGTCCTCCAGCCCCTGCTCGAGCACGCCTCTCACACCCGGCGCCGAAAGTAGGGCGCAGCCTGAGGGACTGGGCGGGAGCCGGGGACTGAAGGCGAGCTAAGTGATGGGGGCGGCGGCCACCCACATCCCCACACGCGCCCCGCCAGCTCCTCAGAGGCGCGAGACCGGCGGACCGCGCCTGAGGGAGGATCGCAGCCGCCCTCAGCTGGAGGCTCAGAGCTCAGCCTCTCAGGCTGGAGGCGCGACCCGCCGCTCCTTGCCCTTGCAGGGAGGAACGGGCGCCTATGGGCACCTCTCTGGCCTCAGTTTCCCTCTCTGAACAGGCGGCCTTGAAGTCTGAGGAGTCGTTTGTGGAGGAAGCCCCTGGCGTCCTTGCCCTTGGCGCTCGCCGTCTTTCCCTCATACCCGCGGACCCCCCACCCCGCCTCCTGCGCCTGCCTCTTCGTCGCCCCTCACCCGGTTTTGCCCCCCTGAAGGAACCCTCCGGCTCTCCCCACGCCCCTGCCCCAGAGCGGCCCGCCCGCTCGGCTGTGCGCCCCTCTCTCCCCCTTGCCGGCGGCCTCTCTCCTCCTCCTTCTCCCTCCCCCAAACCCCCTCCTTGCCCGGGACCCTCTCCCAGCAGCGGCCCCTCCTTGGCTCCCGGTTCCCGATTATCGTCAGCTCCGCTTTGCTCGAAGCCAGTCCAATCTAGAAACACCCCGAGGGCTGTGCGGGGTGACGGGTGTTGGGGGGGGCGGGGAGGGTGGAATATGTGCTCGGGACATACTGTGTCTCCGGAAAATTCAATCACAGGGTTGTTTTTCCTTAAAATACATCAATAACCGTATACCTGGGAGTAATTTTGTGAGATAAATTGGAATTTATTCTAAGATACCAAACACAGAACGGAAAAGAAGAAAGTGGAACCAAGGCAGGCGCAGGCCATAATCATTAAAATCGCCTGCTCTCTCAGTGGTGAATGTGGTTTGGTAGATTGCTCAAGTTTTAATTTCAGGCACAGTGATTTGATTTTTGAGGTGGAAATGGGTATTGATCTAAGTTCACCTAAATTTTGAATTCTCTGACTGATTTTGTTTTTGTGTTCATTTGGCTTTTCTCTTTTGAGCAGAACTTTAAGTAGAAAAGAAGCAAAAAAGCTTTTATGGTGGCAGCTTAAAATTACTTATCTGTGAGCAATAACCTGATTCTTCTTTAGAAGTCAAAGTATTATAATATCCCTTTGCTTCAAGTGGAGCCTTATGATATACTTGAGGATAGTACAATGGGTAGAAATGCGCATAAATTGTTTTTGTTCTGACTTAAGGTTTTTTTTTTTTTTCACCATTCTTGTTTGGAAACATTTAAATTTGATTCTTGTTTCCTTTCTTGCTTTGTGATTCTCTTCCTGTAGTTTCTTGTTTTCTTCATTTTTCCAGTTTATAATCCTCTAGAGTTCTATTATTTTAACTTGAAAGGTTAATACATTGTTGAATAAACCAGAGCATCTTGCAGAAAACAAAGAAATTCAAACCTGGTTATAAGTCAAGGATCCAACATTCTCAAATTCCTAAGTTTTAGAAAAGAGGTGATATGGGTTCACTTCTCTTAGTTTTGTCCACCTTTCCCTGTTGCTTTTTTCCCTATTTCCATCGATTTTTTCCCAAGCTTTCTCCTCTTTTTATTTGACTATATTAAAAAGAAAACTCAAATCCTTCGCAGGATAAATCACAGTAGGATGTAAAAAACAAAGTAGGATGTAAGAAGCCATAAAAGATCAGAATACATTTAAACCGGGTGTGGTTCACAATCCAACAGAGCTCTTGTTAGTTTCTAATTTCACATCTTAAATAACAGTTTCTTCTTAAAAAAAATATGAATTTGAATTATGCCTTGAATTGCAAGATAATCTGTTATTTTATAGAATTAATAAGTGTTTTTGCTATAAAATAGCACCGAAATGTTTTTGTAATCAACATTTAAATATCTTTTAATGTTCCTTCTAGTTTGTTAAATACAGCTAAGGAATAGAGGCAACATGTTCTACACACATGTGCTTATGAGTAAGCGAGGGCCATTGGCCAAAATCTGGCTTGCTGCTCACTGGGAGAAGAAACTCACAAAGGCTCATGTATTTGAATGTAATCTAGAGATAACCATTGAAAAAATTCTTTCACCTAAGGTATGTTATTGATTAAAATTATAGATTAAAATTATAAACAAAATTTATTTATTAATAAAATTAAAATTATAAAACTTCCAAGGAACTTTACTTCTGAAATGGTCTTCTTTCTTTTAATTCCTATAACATTTATTACCTGAGCTTAAACATATGTCAGTTTCTGTTGGTAAATACTATTTCATATGTTTATCATGAACAGATTGGACCCTGAAGGAGAGAGGTCATGTTTTATACATGTTTTGTAATCCTTTCTTATTCCCATAACAAAATACCATGTGAGTCATAGGAACCAAATAATTACTACTTAGAAAAATAGTGAACAGATGACTATGCAGAACAGAAAAAAAAATTGAGTATAACTCAAAATATATATGAAAATACTTCATTATTAAGACACTATAATAAGATATTACAATTTGCATTAAAGTATTGTTTTTGTATGTTTTTAGGTTAAGTTTTTCTGCTTCAAAGATGGATGAATGATAATTGAAAACCTTCCATGTATCAGGCACTGGGCTAGGCTTTATGTTCATTAGATTATTTAATCTTCACAATAACTCTATGAAACGGGCTTCGTTTAGCCTCAGTGAAGTGCGGTAGTTAAGGGGATGAACTTTTGAGTTAGTCAAATTTAAGTTTAATTCCTACTCCATTAGTAGTTGTGTTACTTTGGGCATGCTACTTAACATTTCTGAGTCTGTTTTTTTTCTTTGGTAAAAAGAGGGTGTTGTTAAAATTAAATAATATATGAAGAGCTCTTAAGAAAATACCTGGCACAAAATAAATGTATAATAAGTTGTAGCCATTATTAATAAACTGAAGTTTAAGAAGGTTGAATGACAACCTCAGTCACTGAGCTAAGACTTGAATCCGAGTCTGCCTGACTGCAGAGTTTATATTATTCCCATGAAACCAATAATAACGCATTTCACTTAAATGGTACATGAGATTATCTTCATTGAGTAAGAACAAAAGTTCATCATTTTACAAGATGAAGTAAAAGTAATTCACTTTAAATAAGAATAAGCAAAATGTCTGCTTTTTAAAGAGAAGAAATTCTATGATTTTGTAATTTTCAAATAGGGTTTATGGGTCTAGTTCTTAACATTCTAATACTTTAAAAATTATTGAAAGGTGAAAATTGCACTTCGAACTTCAGGACACCTTCTTTTGGGAGTTGTGCGAATCTATAATAGGAAGGCAAAATATCTTTTGGCAGATTGCAGTGAAGCATTGCTTAAAATGAAGATGACATTTCGCCCAGGTATACTTGCAATGTTGATTTGTCTCACTTTCTTGGTTCCCTTTGGCATTTTTATTTGGGATGGGCTATTTTAATTGGTGGTGCTCTGTAATTCCAGGGTGTATAATGAATATAAACTTTCTTTTCACTGATTCTAAGTTTCCATGGTTAAGGACAAATTATATTCTTTCCCTTGTTCTTTTCCCGTATTTTCAGGTAAAGCTTATACTTTCAAAAACTTGTAATTTTCCTGCATATTTACATGAAAAATATATGTAAAGCTACCACAATTATGTAAGAAATTCTGAGATCTGTTTTAACGGGTTGCTTAGTTTGCTGTATCTGTTTCTGCCTCTGTGAGATGAAGTGTAATTGACAAAAACCAAATATTATAATTGTCATTATTTTCAGAATTCTTAGGACTCTAAGCAGCATGCTATTATGAAATATTATAGAAAATCTCTAGACATTCAAAAGTGCTAGATGTTTACATGCATCATAAATATAATGCCTTTAAACTTAAAGACATTCATCATTTCTATCTCGTATTATGGTTATTTAGGTACAGGCCTTGCCTCTTATACTAGTTTGCAAGCTTCTTGAAGGCAACATCTCTGTCATGTTTATTTTCTGAATCTCTTATAGTACTTGTTTCAGTGCCTTGAATATACTATTCCCTCAATTAATATTTGCTGAATTGGGGCTGACAGGGTTTTTTTTTCTTTATTTAAAATATTTGTAGAATCTCTACATAAGTTTATACTCAATCAAATATGGTTCATTTGTTTATTATTTCATTTATATAATCCACAGGTATTTATTGATCCCATATTTTGTGCCAAACACTATTTTAGGCTCTGGGATGCAAGGGCAAACAAGGCAAACAAGGTCCCTTTCAGTTTGGTGAGGAAATCAAATAATGAAAAAGTTTTTTTTTAATTATTACAATAATTATAGATTGCAATTGTGCTATGTAGGAATGTAAGCAGAGTATTACAACAAAAAATAACAGAAAACTTTACTTGAGTTAGGCTGATTGGGGAAAGCCTTTCAGAGAAGATTGAATTTAAGGTCAAACTTCAAGAATGAGAAGTACCCAGCCATGTAAAAAGTCCCTGAGGAAATAGCATTCTGGGCAGAGGGAACTGTGAGAGCAAAGGTCTGGAGGAACAAAAAGGCCAGTATGGTTGGAGTCTAGTGAATGAGGAAAAGATGATGCTGATAGATTTGTAGGGTTCCAGAGGCCCTGATTAGAAATTTGGATTTTATTTAAATGCACCGGGGAAGTCACTAAATCATTTTAAGCATAAGAGTGAGCTGATCTGATTGCTTTTTAAATATTTTTAATATCACTCTGGCTGTTTGTAGAGAACGGACTAAAGAAGGTCAGGAGTTGGGATTTTCTACTTATATAACATTATTGCTCATTGAATGTGGTTTTTTTATTCTTTTCAGGACTGGTTGACCTTCCAAAAGAGAATTTTGAAGCTGCTTACAATGCTATTACACTGCCAGAAGAATTTCATGATTTTGACACCCAGAATGTGAAGTAAATTTTTTAAATTTATTTTCCTTCGATTTTATTTTCTTGGTATTTTGTTGTTTTCACCTTCATATTTCATGAACACAAGTGAAATCTAGGTAACAACTGAAACACATGCAGTTGACGAAACTTAAATTCAGTGTGAAATTTTGAAATATAATGCCCCAATATATCATTATATTTGCTGAATGTAGTTTGCACTATTGACAGTATGTTCATCCACTCATTCAGTAAACATTTATTGGGTGCCTTCCATATGCCAGGCACTGATCTAAGCACAAAGGAGATAGCAGTAAACAGTAGTTCCTGTCTGCAAGAATCTTACATTTTAGACAAACAATAAACAAATAAGTATACAATATGCCAGGAAATGATCAGCAATATGAGAAGAAATAGAAAATAAAGTAAATAAATGAGGATGGTCAGGAAAGGCTTTTCTTTTCTTTCTTTCTTTCTTTTTTTTTTTTTTAAGGGTTAGAACTGAAACCTGATGGAGGTGTAAGAACAAATCATTCAGTAACTTGAGGAAGAAGGTTCCAGGTAGAGCAAGTGGGAAGGCCCTAAGGCAGAACACATTGGACATTTTCAGGGAACAGCAGGGAAACAAGTGAGATCGGAGTGCTATAAATGAGCATCTGAGTGGTAGGAGATGAGGTCAGAGAGGTAGCAGAGGGTGCAAATGATGTAGGGTGTTGTAAGCCGCATTAAGGACTTTTATTTTACTCTGATAGGAAGCATAGGAGGGTTTTGAATAGGAGAGTGACTGGATCTGACTTGATTTCAACATGCTTCCTCAGGCTACTTACTGTAAGGGGGAAAGGGAGGAAGCAGAGAGCCTATGAGAAGATTATTTCAGTAAGAAGTCCAGATGACCCCTCCAACCCAACACCTAGCCTGGGTCCCCTCCCCTCAGGGGCTGCAAGGGGAACTCCACCCCAGCTTTTACCAGGAACTGCTGGGGGAAAGCCCAGAGCTGAGAGGGTCTCCCCAACCACACCAGACCATATCCCCACCCTCCACTGATCTGAAAGTGAAGACCCAGGGGACATGGGGGAAGGAGGGCATTGGTGGTTGAAAAGAGTTAGTGCCTTGGGTGGGGGATCCCAGGACTCATGACTGGGATGGACAGGAAGGGGACATGACAGCCCTGCCCTATTTGTGGGAGTTGAGGGCCTAATTGGGAGCATGTGTCCTCCCCACCAGCAGCCCACAGATGTGGGATCAGGATGCCTGGCCTCTGTGTCCTTGAAGAAAACTTCCTGTGGCCTTTGTCTTGTTCTTCCTTAATAAATGGTACTACCCCAGCCAAAAAAAAAAAAAAAAAAAAAGTCCAAGGGAGAAATGACAATGTCTGTGATCACTTCACTCTCAGTCTTCATGTTATCAAGGTGGTGACAGTCAAATTATGAATATATTTTAAAGACAGAGCCAACAGGATTTCCTGAAAAATTGGATATGGCTTTTAGGGAAAGAGAGATCATATGATTTGGGCATGAGAATGGAGTTAACCACCTAATGAAATGAGGATAACTAGGGACTGGCAAGTTTAAGAGGGGCAGGGTAAAGGCTAAATTAGGCTTTAGACATAAATTTTGAGAAGATTGTTGCACATCCAAGGGCAGTAGGCAGGTAGTTGAATATCTGGGTCTGAAATTCAGGAAAGAGGTCTGGATTGGGATATATAAATTTGAAAATTGTGAACATATTGTTGGAACTTCACCCATGAGTCATAAGTGACCCACAGGGGATGTGTGTAATGTTTTAAAAAGAGAGAGATCTGAGAACAGAGCGTTGGGTCAGTCCTAGTAGCTAATAGTCTGATGAGGAAGAACTATTAAAGGAGATGGAAAAAGAGCAGTCAGTGAGGTAGAGAAAAAATCAGAAGTAAGTAGGTCGAGAGAAGACTGTTCCATGAGGGAGTGAACATCTGTTTGAAATGCGGTTGGTTAGGGTAAGTAAGATAAGGACTGAGAATCGACCCCTGGATTTGGCAACCTGGAGATCATTTGTATATATGCATGTATAATAAACTAGTGTTTGTAAATAATACTATTGAGAAAATAAAAGTGATTTTATGATAAAACCTGTTTTTTGTTTTAGGGTTTTGGGGTTTTTTCAGGATACTGCAAAATCCTTGGGTTCTATTCCCATGTTTTTGTCAATCTTCTGTTTCTCCATAGTGCTATTGATGTTTCAGAACACTTTGCTCAGAACCAAAGCAGACCAGAGGAAATCACACTTAGAGAAGATTATGGTAATGACCTACTTTTCCAAGCTGGAAGCTTTGGTGAGAATATTTGAGAAATTAAAATTATAAGCTTTAATCAATTGTACTTGCATTTTTGTACTGAAACAATGTCAATAGAAATAGCTATCCTTACACCATTAGAAATATCTTTAGAATGAATCTCTTGTTGCGTAAATGCAACTCTCAGTAAGTTTGCCTTTACCTTTTTCTAAAGAGGTGTCAAAGCCAAGACTCAGTCTTAGGCTGTAAACTTCCCTTCTGACTGTACAATCATTTTTGAATACTTAATATATGTAGTTGCTATCATAGGCACAGGCACTGCCAAGTTTGCAGAGGCATTTCCTGAAGGAGCTCCCAGGTGGGAGAGAGACATGCAAATAAACATTTGCTGTGGTAACATATATATAAGGTTTTACATGTGTGCTGCATATAGCATGACTTCAAAATATAATTCCTCCAGTATATGATGATATCAATTGTTAAAAAAAAAAAAACAGATTTTAACATGGCTTGGGACTAAGGAGGAAATACCAGATGCCAAATACATACTTATGATTGTGAAACAGAAGATGTTGAGCGTATTCTAGAATTGAGGCCATATAGTATTTGTTCTTTTTATGGCATTTACCTCTGTCTTATACCATGGTATTATATATATCCTGTGTTAATCTGAAAACCCCAAGATGATAAGATCTGTGTCATATTCATCTTTGACTTACTTATAGTACCTTAAGCTGTGAGCATAGATAGATAGCCTAAATCTGTGTTTGGTGGGGATGAGTGGTCAAGGCAGTAATGCTTGAGCTACATCTCTAACCTTCACTTCTTATCCTAACTCTCCCTCCATAACTCTTGCAATCCATAGCTGTGTTCTTAAATGATTTGGTGCAGGACAAGTTTTATAATTTTTGTTAATTTTCGGTCTGTCATGGAATTATATTTTTATAAAATATTAAAAAATTGATTACTAGAAAAATTTAAAAGTTTAAAAATAAAAATATATGCTTCAATTTTTGTTATTAAATTCAACATATATAAAACTACTCTGTAAAATTGCTCTAAGACGTTCTAAACTTTACCTCTAATTTGTGTATTTACTCTGTCATGGACAAGGACCAATCCACAGACCATACTTTGAGGTGCATGGATCTTTTACTGTCTGTAACCCCAAGATTTAGAATGTAATACATTGGCGAAAAGTTAATCATAATTTCCTACTGCCCAAGACACTCTTTACACATTTTCCTGTAAATGCTACTACTCTTCTTTAGGACTGAAACTTTAGGATCACCTTTTTTCTTTAAGATTTTATTTATTTGAGGGGCGCCTGGGTGGCTCAGTGGGTTAAAGCCTCTGCCTTCAGCTCAGGTCATGATCCCGGGGTCCTGGGATCGAGCCCCGCGTCGGGCTCTCTGCTCAGTGGGGAGCCTGCTTCCTCCTCTCTCTCTCTCTCTGCCTGCCTCTCTGCCTGCTTGTGATAGCTCTCTGTCAAATAAATAAATAAAATCTTAAAAAAAAATTTATTTATTTGAGAGAGAGATAGAGAGCTGGGGGGGGTGGGGCGAGGAGCAGAGTGGGAGGGATAGGGAGGAGGAAAGAATCTCAGACAGACATGTCTGAGAAGAATGTCAGACAGACATGTAGGGTTTGATCCCACAATCCTGAGATCATGACCAAAACCAAGAGTCAGATGTTTAACTGAAGGAGCCACCCAGATGCCCCTCTAGGATCACTTTTTTTTTTTTAATTTTATTTATTCATTTGACAGACAGAGATCACAAGTAGGCAGAGAGGCAGGCAGAGAGAGGGGGGAAGCAGGCTTCTTGCTGAGCAGAGAGCCCGATGTGGGGCTCGATCCCAGGACCCTGGGATCATGACCTGAGCCAAAGGCAGAGGCTTTAACCCACTGAGCCACCCAGGTGCCCCTAGGATCACTTTTAACTATACTTTCTGTAAGCTTCATACCAGTGTTGATTTACAACAATAAAAAATTGGAAATGCCTCTTAGGTCTTCTTTCTATTTCCCTAGTCACCCTAGTTTACCAGTAGTGGGGTACCTGCATGGCTCAGTTGATGAAGTATCCGACTCTTGATCTCAGCTCAGATTGATCTCAGGTTGTGAGTTCAAGTCCCACATTGGGTTCCATGCTAGGTGTGGAGTCTACTTTAAAAAAAAGTGTGTGTGTGTGTGTGTGTGTGTGTGTGTGTGTGTGTGTGTGTGTATTTCATATAAGTAAAGTACTAAAGGCCTGGAGTACTATAATACCCTCCTACATATCTCCCAGTCTCTTCCCACATTTTATATATCTCTGCAAGAACAATTGTCCTTAAATTCATTTTTTTAAATATCACATTCCTCTACTTAACTATCTTGGATTCCTATGGCTTACTTTAGACACACCTGCCTATCCTCAAGGCCCTCCACAAGTATATCACCTTCTTTGTTTTATCAACTTTGTTTTACTCTCACTACAGAGTTTTTGCCCTAAATGTCTTACCAGCCAACAAATACAATTTAACTGTTCTCAGTCTGTGTCTCCCACAATTCAAAAAAGGGGAAGAACATGTTCTTAGTATACCAATAGATCTAAGTTTGAATCAGCTTTCTCTCTTGCCCTGCTGTGTGATATTAGGCAAATCATCTAGCTTCTTTGAGCCTGACTACCCTTTTTGTAAACTGAGATACTACTAGCAACATCAGAGTTACTTCCCTTATTCTCTCCTTCAGTTCTTTTCACCAATAAATGATTTTTTTCTCTTCCAAAAACTAGCTCAAACCTAATGTTTTCTGAGAAATGTTTAATATTAATACATACTATTCTGAACTACAATATAAGATTGAAAGCAATGATTATTTAAAAAATTTTTTGAGTAATCTTAGTATCGTGATGCTGAATGCTCAGAATATGTCTGTTGATAAATTTCATTATCTTATTGATCAAAGCTGGCTTTTCTTTTGGGAACTTTCAAGCTGCTTCTGGAAGATGTGAACATATTTTTAGGTTTTTTGGGTGGGGGAGGGTTGTTTGTTTTTTTAAGTTAGTCTTCTATTGAACAAATCTTTAATCTAGTGCAATGAAGGCTCCCTTTTTCAAGTTTTCCTTTCCAGGATATGTGGGCCTATAGAGAAATCTTAATATAAATGATTCTTCATTATTTTCTTTACTAATACTAACTAACATAGTTGTTAGAGAGAGGGAAGAGAAGACCAACTCTGTCTGACCACTGGTGTCAGACTCCTGGACCTAGAGATTCAAACCCAAGAAAGGAAAGAATATACATGAGCTGACAGCCAATCTGGAAGCAAGTCAGTTTGAAGCAGGGAGTTCACTTTATCTGCTGCTGTCAGTGTCTTAGGAGTTGCTCTCATAAGTTGCCATTTTGCAATATATTTTACCAGTGAAATTCTAACACTGTTACTGTCACTGTCTCTGCTAGGTTCAGATCCTGGCTTTGTCATTTATTAGGGTATGACTGTGTGCAAATTATAAAACCTTTCTGTGGACATGTTTCCTTGTCTGTACAATAAGGATTATAATAGTATTTTCTGTTACATAATATAATGCACATAATAAGCACTCAGTTAATGTTAGCTGACCGTGTTTTTCTTTTTAAGTGCTGTATGTCCAACACCTAGCAGATTGTTTAATACCCAGTCATTCAATAGGTATTTATTGAATAAATGCTATAAGCTCATTCTTTAATATTTTACCTACTTTTCCATTCCTGAGAAGACAGACATGCCTCTTATTTTCCAAACTTCCATTATGGATAAACAACACAAGAAACTGAAATAATATGATATAATGCTTGATCAAGCAGACATGACCTTTCTAATGCAGAAGAAATCATTCCACTGCCAATAATAACCCTCTGGGAAATTATTAAATTGAACTACAACTAAAAACCCTATCCTAATGTTTTTTCCTATTGCTTTGGGAAAAGTGTTAGACTAAAAATCCAGTCTCCACAGATTAACTGAGTGACATTAGTTGAACAATTCAAATAAGTTTTTAAGCTCTTATTGTTCTTATCTGTAAAATGGGAGGGGCTATCCAAGAAGATATCTGAATTTCCATCTAACCCTAAAACTTTATGTTTCTATGGCTAACTCAGTATTAATGATATATATTCACTTAGGGGAAGAACCTGAAATTCTCAGAAGACATAGCTTCTTTGATGACAACATATTGCTGAATTCCAGTGGTCCTCTAGTTGAACATAGTTCTGGAAGCCTTGCTGGAGAAAAGTCTCTGTTCTATGACAGTGGAGATGGATTTGGAGATGAAGGGGCTGCAGGAGAGATGATTGGTATGCTGTTTGGTTATATAGAAATCAGATATTTATTTCAATCAAACTAGAATGTATTAATAGGTTTATTAGATCAAACTAAAATTTCAGGTATGCCCCTGTGTCATATAAATCAATATATATTTTTTACACAAGTTTTTCAAAATCTATAGTGTATTTAAACATTTAGGCTAGGTCCAAGTGAATAGCCATCTATTTAAACACATTTTTCATTTAGGTTATAAAATACTACTTGTTTTTATTTTTATAAATTCCTAATTTTTAAAGGGGAAGGAGTGGAGTTAATATAGTCTTCACAAAATATATTAGATCATATATTAGAAAACATTATTTTCCTTAACAGAAATTGTGAAACAGCTAAAGGATCTGTCCGACATTTTATATTATAATTTTATATTTATATCATGATGTTTTTAAAATAATCATAGAAATAGGGTAGACAAAAACTGGGAAATCTAAATACACACGTTCTAAAGATATTGATGGTTAAGTAACAAATCTTTTTTAAATTCTCTAGTTTGATTTAAAAGGCTGGTTATAGCAAACTTTCTGAAATTTCAAAATTATGAAAAAACATGGTTCTACCTTAAATCTATACTAAAGAATTTTGAAAGCTTTTACTTCTTGATTTGAAACCTAAACATGGTTATGTAACAAGGTTGCTATTTTGGTATTAGTTTAGTAAATATCTCCTGAAATTAAACATCTATTTAATAAAGGAAAGGAAATGATAAATATATAATTTTACATTATCCTGTTTGAAATACAAGAGTCTATGTAACCAATCAAATCTACTTAAGTAGGGTTGTACCTTATCATTCTTGTATACAATAGTGTCAATAAATGTTTAGTGAACAAATGACAGATTCAACTCTGTATGACTAAAGTATTTATTGTTTTTCAAGACAATCTACTGCAAGATGATCAGAATATCCTATTAGAAGACATGCATTTGAGCAGAGAAATTTCTCTGCCTCCTGAGCCTCCTGATACTATAGTGGGTATGATGAAATTATCCTTTCTGTTGAAAGTGAACAGATACTAATATTCAGATTAAGACTTATAACTGCACAGTTTAAGTAGCAATATAGTATACTGAAACATAGTAAAGAATGTTGTCCCTCAAACTCTCCTGAGTCTGACCCTGGACAATATGAAATAGGAAACTAGGTTCTGAGAAAGTTACAATGAAAGTATTTAGCCAGAATTGGGTTTATTTGGTATGAGAGCACATTTAAACACTCTGTCTCAGACCACGTAATCTCTGTGTCTCTTCAACTCCATTAAGTACATGATTCTAAAAATCAGATTTGGTTCCAGTTAACAATATAAGTATTCAATTATCATTATCTTTTGCTTTTATTCTCATATAAGCATCTAAGTTATAACATAACCATTATTTTTTAATAATTCCTTTTATGGTGGTATTATTAGTGGAACCAGATAATCCAGAGTATATATGTCTACCTGAAAATGGAAAAATGGATGACATATTATCAAATGAAGAACAAGGATTTACCCTTGACCCAATTGATGCTTCAGGTCAGACGCAATTGTGTTTTTGTTTTTTATTTTTTGTTTTTGAAATTTTTTTAAAGATTTATTTATTTGAGGGGGAGGGGCAAAGGGAGAGGGAGAGAGAGAATCCATAAGTAGACTCCCCACTGAGTGTGGAGCCCAACACAGGGCTCGATTTCATGACCCTGAGATCATGACCTGAGCAAAAATCAAGAGAGTTGACTGTTTAACCAACTAAACCACCCAGGCTTAGTTTTTATTTTTGATACACTATTATTTTATTTACTGTGAGATAATCTGTGAAATATTATTGGAGGGAGTGAACCCAGTAATAACATTTGCAATATGATAGGGAAAGGGTGTGGAGGAAATTTGAGGTGATCCTTTCATTATAGTCAACTGTGGTCAAGCCATATAACCAGTGTGGGAAACAGGAAAATCTAAAACTGAGTTCAATGCCAGTAGTTACTGAACCATTACTCTCTGTTGGGCACAGAAATGAAGACATAGTACCGCTTTTAAGAGGCTTACAATCTGATTGGGAAGATAGATAAACATGCAAATGAATGTAAAATAAGACAAAATAAAAGGATCAAAAGAGAAGCCTATGACCTCTAAAATTTAACCTCATGCATATTTTTAGGAATAAAAGACAAATATGAATCAAATATAACTTGACCTTATAAGGACATCATAGTTTTAAGTAGTATAATTAATATGAATTTCAGTTATAAATTCAGGCATTCAAGGGATAAAGCATTCAAGCTTTTTTCTCTACTTTATGCAACTTTGAGTTTTTATCTCACTGGGTTGGCAAAAATTTCAACCTGTACATTTCCCCTATGTGGCCTAAGCTATGTAGTATCAAAATTTGGGGGAGGGGTGTGACAAGTAGAAAGGAAACTTTGGTCATCAGTCAAAACAGTTTGTGGTACCCACTGTCCCAGCCTGTGTTGCCTCTGGGGTCATCACACAGCAGCCCTTCTGGGATCTCGCCACATTCCTAGGATTTTACTAAGGCACATTAGCAGGCAGGTTACTATTCCATTTGGCTCCATCTGATATCAGATCTTCTCCCATTCTGGGAAATCTCATCTTCCCTTTTTGCATCTTTACTAAGGAAAAGCTTGACTTCTGCTTTCTACCTGGTAAAATTATCTAAAAGGAGTGAAATCCCATGGACCTAGCTACTGACTTGGAATTTATGTATGAATTTCAATGGAGGAGGGAAAAATATACTGGACAGATACAAATTAATGTTTCAAAATATCCTCTTATATAGATACTTTAGGGAACTTCAAGATTGAGCTACCTCCCTGAGTATATCCTCTGCTCCGCATTTCCTCAGTTGTCTGCCTGCTAGGTCAACAGAGTCCCTCCTAAGCACTTTGAACGAACACTTTACAAAATCCATCCGCTGTTGGCTGCTCAGATACTCTAGCTATGCAAAAACCTGGTGAAGCATAACTTATTAGAAGAGAGAAAGGGATTTTCTTCCCATGGCAACTCTGTAGGTTCCATTGTGGTAGACGTTTCTTAGATATGCAGCACCTAGAATATCACTTTACAAAGCTGTACAACCAATCACATTTGTGCCTTTTTCTTATATTTAGACTTTGCTGAGAAGAGAAAAGGCAAAAAGAGGAAATTGCTTATAGATCCAATCAAGGAGATCAGTAGCAAAATTATGCATAAACAGCTTACTTCCTTTACGGACACACTCATGGTTTTGGAACTTGCACCTCCTACCCAAAGACTGATGATGTGGAAGAAGAAGGGAGGAGTGGACACGCTTCTGTCAACTGCTGCCCAGGATTTGACTCATGCTGAACTGAAAATGGTAACAGTTTGCATCTTTTTATGTAGGTACAGTGTTCAGTTATAAATAAGTAAATCCATATTTACATTCATGTATACAACAGAATATAAACTTACGAAAAATACCTCCTTTTGAGTTAATTTGCTTGATGTGTGTGTACATGAATTATAGTTTTCACTTTTTGGCACATGTGCTTGTATTTTATTGAATCGTTTTACTTGTTGAAAAACAAGAAATAAAAATGTATATTTTTACAGTTGTTTACAAAATGCTTTCTGTCCTCTGGCTTTAAACTTGGAAGAAAATTGATACAGAAGGAATCAGTAAGGGAAGAAGTGGAAAGCAAAAACATAATAGGTGAGACATCCTAACTGTTGGTGTTGAGGGGAATGTTGTAGAAACAAAAATATCATTTTACATTTCAAGTGAAAATGGGGTCCAGTTCCATATTCCCAAGTATAAATGCTGTCTCTAGAAAACTATTTCACCTTAAAGAAATTGTTACATCAGCATTGCCTACAGGTTAATTTTCATCCAACAAACTACATTAAAAACAGGAGGTATATATATTATGCAGATTCTTCATAATCTCTCTCCTCCTCCCTACCTCCTTAATCTCACTCCTCCCTATTTCCCTATCCCTAATCTCACTCCTCCCTATCTCCCCCATCCCTACTCCTAAACCTTCAACAGATAAAACTATTTTATCTAGGAGGATAATGTTTCACTTTAAGACAAGGAACATGATAAGTCACCTAGTGATAAGAATAGCATTTAAAGAATACAATTAACCTGAGACATAGACATTTCCATCCACTTAGAGGATACATGGAGTATTAAAAATTACTGATTGTGACAGTTGTAAAGGAATAATAAAACCAGCTTTGGTAGTGAGCAAATCTCTGCTTCCTGATCACTTGTCCTGAAGACATTAAAATCTACTGAACTGGGCACCTGGGTGGCTCAGGGGGTTAAGCCTCTGCCTTCAGCTCAGGTCATGATCTCAGGGTCCAGGGATCGAGCCCTGCATCAGGCTATCTGCTAAGCAGGGAGCCTGCTTCCCCCTCTCTCTCTGCCTACCTCTCTGCCTACTTGTGATCTATGTCTGTCAAATAAATACATAAAATCTTTTTAAAAAAAATCTACTGAACCATACACCAAGATGGACTTGAACTCTCCATGTTGTCTTGTGAATGCATGTGTTGGAGTGAGTGTGGAGGAGACAGTTGGTGGAGGATGGGGAGTGGAGGTGATGAGAACCAGATGAGGGGGAAGAGAAGATAAATATGTGAGACTTGGGAAACTATAAGAAAGTTTGTACATCCTTTGCTTAAATCCTCAGATTCCAAGTTTTCTCTCAGAAGATTTCTTTTGTAACAACCATATCCCAATTTAAGTTTGAAAGATATTCTGGTGAAATCTTCTTTACTTCCTTAATAATTCAGAGACCTCTGTGATGGAAGAACTAAATTCTCAGCGAGACTTAAATCAATCCAAAATGTGGAAGGATGTGATTGATGGATCTAACTGTAGCTCTCGTGAGGATATCAATAAAAATACTAGTTCCGAGGTAAGTTAATCAAAGAAAATCATAAAAACATTATTTTTCTGACACAGAGTGAAGGAACCTTGAAACTCTGATATGTCTTCTTACATTATAGTTTATATTCCATCTTATCTTATTCTGCAATTTGTTTAGTAAGTGGCCATACTATGTAAAGCATGATTTTCATCTACAGAACAGTATTTTCTAGAACTTTTGGATAGTAAATCACAAGATAAGTAGTTCATACTGAAACATTTTGCATGATACATCAAATAAATGAGTGTGCTTGAATCCAGTTATATCCCAAGAATCCTCCTGGGCCTCGCATTCAATATATCATGGAATTTTTTAGGACTCTGGAAAGTACACCTGTGTTTTTTTCCTGATCATAAATTCACTCTTCTCATGTCTAAGATTATGTCTTAGACCTATAATTATCTTAGTCTTGAATCCGAAAGACTATCTAAAAATCCATGACCAAACAAAATTTTTTAAAAATTTTATTTGAAGAAGTAATTTTTATTCAAAAAGCATAGTCTTTTAAAAGCATCATTGGATGGGGCGCCTGGGTGGCTCAGTGGGTTAAAGCCTCTGCCTTTGGCTCAGGTCATGATCCTGGGGTCCTGGGATCGAGCCCTGCATCGGGCTCTCTGCTCAGGAGGGAATCTGCTTCCCCCTCTCTCTCTGCCTGTCTCTCTGCCTACTTGTGATCTCAGTCTGTCAAATAAATAAATAAATAAATCCTTAAAAAAAAAAAGGCATCATTGGAAACAGTGTGCTTTAAAATATATTCCCCATTGTCACTTTAGTGGTTGTACAAATGTAAATATTATAACTAAACCAGATAAAAATAAACTAGTGCTCTTCTGGTTTGTTCCTTCATGACTGTATTTTAATAGCCACTCAGGGAATTCAAAGTCAATCCACACTGGAAATGAATGCCCTTGGAAGGAAAAACAATTTCATAATGCATTAAAACAATGTATTTTACTGAATATTTGATAGTATACTAGATATTGAGATATTGGGTTGCCAGTACTACTGTCTTCCTTATTTTGGGTTCAAGCATTTCTTAGAGTCCATCTACTGAAACTTATGATCAGGTAAGCTTGTTTAGTTCACAGTTTTTTAATACGTTAACAAAATAGATTTTCCCAAGTGCTTGAAGTGAAGAGATTGATATATGAGTTCTCTTGACCCTCTTAACTCCTTTACTCTATACTTATGCTTTAATTATCAATTCCATTCTTATGGTGCTTCCAAAAATGGTGAACAGGTGTGAAACATAATCAGGAATGGGAAATATTGCCAAGACAGAAAAATATTGATTCTGATTCATCGCTTTCAATTTTTCCTAAACCATTTTTTATGTAAAGTAACTACAAAATGGAGAGTACCTAAAATATAGAATATTCATAGAAATTAAAAGAGAAAAAAATAAGTCTCCACAAACATGTAGATTAAAGAATAAAATTCAACTCCTTACATTCACTAAAAATTTTAAAAGATAAAGTGAAAAATCAAATACCCTTTGTTGTAGTAGGCTCCTAACTTGAAGACTGTTAAAGATGAAAAAGGGGCCCATGACTTCTATAACAATGAAAAAAGGGGATGATAAGGAATGGAGAATTTCTGGCTTTCTTCTTTTCCTTCTTCCTTTATGCCTTTGCTCCCCTTCCAGAAGACACAGTTTTTCTTCCCTTTTGCCAGTGACAGCTCCAGCCGTGGTGGCAAGAATCTTGCCATGGCCCTAGGTAGGGATATTAATATCCCTTCCTCCATTTTCAGCCCTCTGTTTATAGTTCTTCCTCCACCACCTGGTACTGGCATGAGGATAGAGGTAGGGGTTGGGACTAGACAAAATGCTTCAAAGGAAAGTGGTCTCAGCCACACAGCTATGAAGTTTGATATGAGGTCAGCAGTGGTGAAGGAAGTAGGAGTGGAAACGATGGGCAGCAAAGAGGGCAGGGATGTGCCAGTTCTTCATTTGTGGAGGCATACGGAAAACAGGGCAGTCTATCTGGGATATTTCAGAAATAATATTTTGTGAGTGCAGGTAGTATTTTAAATCAGTTTTAGAAATGAGCCTTCATGTGATTAAAGCATTTAACAAAATAAAATTGTTCCTGCGATTACTACTACTGTGACGACTTACCTATTTTTCCCTAATTTGCTTTAGCAGGATATTGTTGAAATGGTATCTTTAGCTGCTGAGGAATCCTCTTTAATGAATGCCATCTTAGCACAAGAAAATGAGACTTGTACAGTGGAGTTGGTAAATATATGCACAGTCTTGAGAATGTTCTTACAAACTTTGTTCCTGGGGTGCTTGGGTGGCTCAGACAGTTAAGTGTCCGCTTTTGGCTAAGGTCATGATCCCAGGGTCCTGGATGGAGCCGTGCAGCGGGCTCCCTGCTTAGCAGGAAACCTGCTTCTCCCTCTCCTTCTGCCTGCTGCTCCCCTTGCTTGTGCACACGCTCTCTCTCTGTCTAATGAATAAATAAAATCTTTAAAAACAAAAACAAAAAACTTTGTTCCTAAATAGTTACCACCTTATTTACCTAAAAATTGGTTTTAGAGCTGTCATGTTACTTTCTAGAATTATTAAATTAGTGATCTCAACAAAAAAGAATGTAAGTAGTTTGATAAGACATACTCAGAATTGCTTTGACCTTTTTTCTTTCTTTAACTTATTTTGAAACTTCAAATAATTTTAAAGAAAATTGCGAAATTTTTATGTTATCAAAGGTAGTCATAGGTTAAAAATATTGCGAATCACTGTTTTAACATATAACATCTTTAAAGAAGCAAAGCTATAATAGAGGTACATCCTAGAGTGTTTGAAATTTTACTTTATTTATAAATTAAAAAAAAAAAACAAGAAACAAAAACAAAACATAGCATTTTCCCCCCAAAACATTATGTGGCTCAAGGCCTATATCAGACCACTAAAAAGAAAGTGGTCCTGCTGAAGGGCCACAATTCAATAGCAAAGCCAGAAGTAATATCTGACTCACCTGCGTCCATACATATCATGTTCTTATTTCTCCAGTCTTTGTACCATAGTGCTGAAGGCATTTTTAAGATTGTAATGAATTTTAGCTAAAGTTTCTTATCGAATAATATCAAAATAGCTATTAATGCCAGATGATAGTTTGTTCTTAAATAAATAATCTTTATACTGAGTTCCAAGACTACTAGATTGCTTTTTCAAATGTGAAAAATAGACTGGATTCTATAGATAATCTAGGACAGAACAGATACCTGAACACCTTAGAGCCAGAAGTGGGGTGATTCATTTTCGCCTTTCTCTTTGCTCCAGTAGACACAGGTTGTTTTCCTACACGGTCAAGCAAACCACAACACAGCACAAGTTCAGCTGCTTTAATAATCCACTGGGCTTTCCACACAATGGATTCAGCAGTAGGGTGTCCGGATAGATCAAGTAGACAGGCTTCAACAAAGCGCATAGACTATTTTTTCTGAGCATTTTCCTGGTTAGTTTAGTTGTGCAGTTATAGGTGAAGCTGTGGTCTCATGGATCTTTAACAAAGACTTGGGCCATTGCTTTTTTATATTTGAAAAACAGCATTTGTGTACTTAACAATATAATAAGTACCAGTAATTGGGTGAACTCATTTATCCTAGGGCAGACCAGAAAGAAATAAGAGTAAATTGTAGCTGAGGGGATTTGGAAAACTCTTCAGAATAAAGTGACCATATTTTCGGGTCATTCCCTTTGGAATGTTAGAAAGAATGCTATACAGGCAGGACCAGGAAGCCAGTATAACTGGTAGGAATGAGGACTCCGCAGTCAGTCTCCTTAGCTTCAAGAATATGCTGGAACTTTCTGAAATCATTTTGGAGTCTGTGAAATTTAAAACAGACAGGAAGTGTCTGGGCTCCAAAGGAGCACGTGAAGTGACACTTGACAGTGTACCTGTGGTAAGGATGATGGTATGGTCAGAGCTAGCCTAGGGAAAATTATTAAAGTAGGTCAGTTCTGTGCCACTTTCCTCCCCCCAAAAACCTCCCACAACCTGCAGTTTGTAGACTTGCTCTTTTGTCAGATTCATCAGCACCTTTCCTATGCCCAGTTCTGTTCTTAGCTCATAAAGTGTTAGTTCATAAGAACTTAGAATGAGTTCCTGTGAAGGGATTTCAACTTGATGATTTTTAAATATTGAGGTGTCTCTGAAGATGGCTAAATTTTAAAACCTGAAAAGAATGAATCTATTCAGAGAATATGACAGGAAGTGTGTTGATCTTTTTGGGACAAGTTACCCTTTAAATCAAAAAGGTTCTAATCCAATTGTACACAGATGGCTAAACATCACGTATTAATTAGAGCTTCTGTATCAGCAGCTAAGTTCAGATAAAGGCCTTTACAAGGCAGTTTTTCTATAGATTTATGTTTATTCCTGTCAACTCAATTCAAATTGACTAGAGCTGGGATAGTCCTAACCAAAAGTCACTGCTTATTTTACTTTTGAGAGTAAAGACATAATGCTTTTGGATGCATTACTAATAAAGACTGCAGAATCTCCTCTTCTGGAGACCCTCATTGCCTAGGTAACATTGATATAATCCTGCAAAGGATCAATATATATTTTTATGTTTCCTAGTCTCTCTATTATCAGACTATAAGTTCTTTTTTTAGCAGGACCCAGTGTTATAGTTGGGTTTCTTGTAGCAGCTAACACTATGCTTGGCAAATAGTAAGCATTTGGTAAGATTTGTTTAAATGAAATATTTTATCAATCTTTCAAACAGGAGTCATCGGAGAATGAACATAATACTGAGACAGAGAGATGGAATCGAAGAATTCTTCAGATCTTACATAGTTTGAGGGTAAGATGGTAGGGTTTGTCAATCCTACTTTTGTTTTTAAAAATAAAATGCTGACATCAATCTTCTAGGTGTTAATAAAAATGAAATAGTCTTCATTATTTTTTTGTTGAGACCAAATTCCACTAGAATGAAATTAGTTTGAGCAGTATACCCAGGGCTCACTGTGGGAGTTTGCTTTTGGTGCCTGTGTGTTCTAATCAACTTCTTACCTATACTCATGCTCCTAGAAATCCAGTGTATGTCCGTCCCATTCTTGTGTTTAGCAGGCTATCAACTAATTCTCTGTATGGAACTAAGTTTATAACAGTTTAAGAGCAAAACAGATTATTTTGAAATTTAACTTATATTTTGGGGCACCTGGGTGGCTCAGTCAGTTAAGTTTCTGACTTGATTTTGGCTCAGGTCATGATCTTAGGGTCATGAGATGGAGCCCTGAGTCAGGTTCTGTGCTGGGCACGGAGCCTGCTTGAAATTCTCTCTCTCCATCTGCCCCTCCCACCTCCCTCCCTGCTCTCACTCTCTCTCTCAAAAAAAATTTACATATTTTTATCAATATAATACATGTATATAATTTTTGAAGTTCAGTAGTTCTATGCTATAAGGCTAAGAAGGAAACACAGGAATTTTTTGTCTTATCTTCCTTATTCCTAAGTCCTGCTCACCAAAGGCAACTATATTAAGCTGTTTCTTTTAGTATTTATATCTATACTTCTAATTTCATATTCTTACTATTTTATCTGTTGACTTCTTTCAATGTAGAATGAAAATTTAGTTTAGTTATAGCTTTCTCACCACAGTCTGTTTTTAGCACAGTATTCAGTGTTTACAGTGTTACAATTGTAATAGTTATGATGTAGGTTTGACTTTGACAAAGAGCCAAAGTATCAATGGTTTCAAAAGGTAAAGTATAATCTGGTATAGTCCCTACCCTCAAAAAGTTGTCAGAGACCCAGGTTACCTTTATCTCATTTTCTTTATTCTCAGAATAAAAAAATGGCTGAGTACCCACCACATCTGCATTCTGGTCAGCAGCAAAATTTCCTTTAAGGGTACAACCAGAAATTGTGTGTATCACTTTTCACATTTCATTGCCCAGAACTTAGTCACCTTGCCACATCTAGCTGGGAAATGTAGTCCTTATCTGGCAATCTTGGGCCCAGCTAATTATTCTATTGCTATGAAAGAAGACAAGAATGAATATTAAGGGACAATCAGTAGTCACTGCTACAAAGACTGTGTAAAAATTAGTGTAATTACATTTCTTTTCTTGTGAACTTCATAGTGGGTTTTTTTGGAGTTAATCATTGCCTCATTTTTCCCATTTGCTTGGGAAATGCATCCTTAATTCTTTTCTTAAACTCTCTGACAATATAATGAAACCTCTTTTAGTATGCTCAAACATGTCAATTGATTGACCAGTTCCAGTATATTTTCTTGAAGATATTCCTTCCAGAACTCATCATCTTCTTATTCTCATTGGACTAGCTGCTCTCTAGGTCTTTTCCATTGTTTTTGTCTTGCGACATTCCTTTATCATAACATGGGAATTCCTTTGTCTTTTTCCCATATTAGTTTCTCTATTTCTCAATGCTTTGATCTTCCTTTACTGAATTTTTTGGTGGTTAACATCCTTTCATAATTTTCTGAGATAAAGTGTGCATAGGAGATAAGACACCTTATGTACAAGTCTGAAAATTTATTTATTTTACCTTTAACTTGATTAGGTGTCTCTGAACATAGTTTGAAAATAATAGTTTTCAGATGTTGAAGGCTTTGTGACATATCTAGGTTTCTTGTGTTGTTCCTGAAAAGTTAGATGCTGCTTGGTTGGCAATCCTTTGTAGGTGACCTTTATTTTCTGTCTGGAAACTTCTAGGTCTTTTCTTTGCTCCTACTGGTCTGAAATTTCATGATGATGTGTTTTGATATGGGTCTTTTTTCATTTATTGTGCTGAGCAGATAATGGGTTCTTTATTCTGGAAGCTCATGTCCTTGAATTTTAGGAAATTTTGTAGTATTTCTTAGATTTCCTCCTTGCTGTTCATCTATTCTATCTTTCTGGATTGCCTACAGGTCAGATGTTGGATCCCCTGAATTCCCCTTTAATTTTTAAAAAAATCTTTTATTTCTTATATTAATTCCCTTTGTCTTTTTTTTTCTACTCTCTAGAAAATGTCTTCAACTTTATCTTCCAGTTTTTATTGAATTGTATTTCTACTTTCACCTCTTTTGTTTTCCAAATTTTTTTTAGTTATTAATTATTCTTTTAGTTTTTAGCATCCTAATCTTCTCATTTATTTATTTATTAATAGCTTTATTGAAGTATTCTTAACATACAATAAACCACACCTATTTAAATTATACAGTAGATAAGTTTCAACATCATGTTTATACCTGTGAAACCATCACCACAATCAAAAGAGCGAACATATGTATCTACAATCCCCCAAAATTTCCTTGTGCCTCTTGATAATCCTTTGTCCCATCTCTCCCACTGGTCCCCCTCCCTCCTCATCATCATGTTTTATGGATACAGAGTCTTCTTTTTCATAGGTTATAGTTTTCTTCTGGTCCCTACATTGCCTCTGTTTGCTTTGTGATTCTCTTAAATGTTAGTAATGCTCTTGAATGTTAGAAATTAAACTCAAATGTCTGGTAGACCTTTGGTTATCTGTTCTTATTTGAAAGTGAGACAGCAAAGGGGTGTCTAGGTGGCAAAGTTGGTTAAGCACCCAACTTTCAGTTTGGGCTCAGGTCATGACCTCAGTGTTGTGAGATCAATCCCTACCTCTGCTTTGTGCTCAGTGAGAAGTTTGCTTGAGATTCTCTCTCCCTCTCTCTCTGCCTTCCCTGCTTGTGCTCTCTCTCAAAAATAAATAAATAAATCTTTTTTAAAAAAGAGCGGACAGCAAAAATCAGATTGGAAGTTATATAAGCAAGGGTGACACTTGTAGACTTGTGGTCTTAACAGTGAGATAATTGGGCTGTGCCTCCCCCCGCCACACACACACTTGCATACACACAGGTGCCATTATCTGTCGTTCCCCTAATCCCCTGGCACCCATGGTCAGTTTTCCCAGCTAAATCTTCAAATCTACTGCCTAGGAGATGAAAAGCATGATGCCAGTGATTCAGGACCCAAGAAGAGGAAGGGGAAACCTTAACTGTCTCATTGTTTAGCTTGTAGAATTTCACTTAACTCCCAGCTTGTGGTATGACACTTCTCCACCATCCACAGTGCTTCGTGTCCCAACTCTGGAGCCTCAGTGGTTAAAATCTCTGGAAAGGCAACTTCCTGCCTCCTGGCAGGGTATTGGAGTTGTGATCTCCTGGTTCAGTAAACTGGTAGAGTGCACCTGAGGGTCTAACTGCTCCCAAGTAGACTTCTGAGGAATTCTTATCTCTATCTTCCAACGTACTATTGCCTGCAATTCCTGAGCTTTTCCAAGGTTCTATAGCTCACACTAACTAGTTTTCTGCTGGTTTTCCTTCCTGCTGGTACTTAGATTTTAACTTTCTCTATTCTGCTAAGTCAGTCAGTCTTTCACTTTGTCTTTATCCCCTTCCTTTGTCACCTTGTATTCTTTAACCTTCATTTTAGAGGGCTTTCTGGAGGGAACAGAAAAATAAGCATGAGTGTTCAGTCTTGCATATTGGGGTGTTTTTCAAAAAGATTCTTGAAATTCAAAAGGGTGTCCCTCTTCTCTTCCAGGGGAAAAAGCCAGTCAATCCACATCTTGTCTCCTCAAGAGTGAATAAGTGAAGGTTTGGCATATGCCACCTCCGAAAGGCTGCTGATACTGTCCTTTTCTTGTCCTTTTGTTTAGATAAAGTATGATAAAGTATTTAATTTATTAGTTTGCTAAATGTTGTGGACTAGCAAAAAAAACCTGTATATTGTATTTCTAAAAATACTTCACAGCTATCAAAGGAATACGAAGCTCAAGCCATACTGGCTAGTATTCATCACAGTATTTCTAAACAAAAAAACTATACTGTACTATAGACAGTCCTGTACTATACTGTACTATACTGTTCCATTCTAGAACTCTGATTCTAGTCTTCATAAAAGGAGTTGTCTTTATCCATAATTACTTTACTGTATCTCAGTTTTTTCTAGTAGGTTCATAGGTGCCCTGTGGTGAATCCAACATCTTTTTAATCTGTGCCAGGAAACTGGGAGATATTTATATAGTCATATTCCTCTGCCACTAAGATATAAATATAATTTTACATTTATTACCATAGTTGTTTATAGTCACCCCCACCTCCCAGTACCTTTAAAGAGAAGAAGCCTGATAGGGCTGATAATTTTCATTGTATTTGAAGCCTCCCAAAGTCCTGTGGCTTGTTTTCTGCCTGCAAGTCTAAACTAACTTCACTTTCCACAAAGCCACTTATGTTAACATCAAATTTTTAAAAGACCTAACATTTGTATAACACATCAGAAATTTGTATAACACTTTAAGAGTTCTTTTGCATGCATTTTCTCAATGAACCAAGCTTATACTCAATGACCAATAATGTTTTTTAAATTTTACTAATGAGTCTTTTGCATTTCTCCATTTTAGGACTTCACACTTACTTATCAAAAATATTAATATTTTATTCATTATGCACCCACAGCCTGCTGTACTTTTAATGATGTTGCTTCTCTTTCCTTTCTTCTTTTCTAATTATTTTCCCAGGAATCCAACAAGATGGGAATGCAGTACTTTAGTCTGATGAAACTCTGCAGAAATAGTGACCGAAAACAGGCTGCTGCCAAATTTTATAGCTTTCTTGTCCTAAAAAAACAGCAGGCAATTGAGTTGAGCCAGAGTACTCCCTATGCAGATATTATAGCTACAGTGGGACCAATGTTCCATAAAATGTGAAGGAAATCCAGAACAGGCAGATTTATGTAATCATTGGAATTTCTGTGTAGACCATTCAGTTTAATGCAGAAGCTGTCTGGAAGTAGCTTAAAGTCTGATCCATTTCATATACAGGCTGACTCCTATTTCCCCTTTGTAAATTCAGAATGATCATAGCCAGAATTGGAAACCTCTGTGCTGACAGAAATACTTAATTGTAGCTGAGTAATATTTTTAACTTAGCTAACTTGAATGTATAGTATTTACCATTTCCCTGACTTGAATGTTGCATTTAGAATACATTTTTAAAATACTATGTGCCTTCAAGAAACATTTAAGGATATTTTCTAAAAGCCATTTTACATTGGATCATTTACATAAATTGTACAGGAGTAATTAATAATTAATACTCCCTTACTTCCCTGCAGACAATAATTTATTTGATTCTAATGCAGACCATCCTTGATTTGACCTAACACTGTGGTTTTTAATCTAATGTCTTAATTTAAAGGTTCTAAAATTCATCTTTGTTTTAAATTATCTGAGTGGATTTTAGTCTATTTATAGGTCATTTAACATTTTTATTTATTATTTAATGATTATTATAACTACCATTCATGTATCAACAAAACTAAGTCTTCTTATGTTAAAAAATTAGCGGACACTTATTCAGCATGTTGTCTAAAACTACAATTCAAGTAAAGGTCATTAAAATAAATGTTCTTTTACTTGGTGTTTACTGAGCATTTTTTACTTTAAAACCATTGTTTTTCTCTTTTCTTAGTTGAAGTTTTAGTTAGGAAATTTTCATATAATGCTCTGTGAACCCCATAGTATACTACAAAGTGAAACCTATAGTACTCTCTTCAATCCCCTTGTAAATCTGGAATTATGCTGCAAATGGAATTCTAAATGGCCTCTTTGAACATATTAATTATATAAGATTGAAATGTCAAAATTGTCTTTTTAAAAATGTCTTTTATTTTTTGAAAGATACACGATTTACAGTCACCCCAAAAAAGTCTTTTATTTTTAAAATTAACATACAGGAAAACTGACTTTTTCATTTTGGCACAAAGTTCTGTGAATTTTTTTTTTTTTTTATTTGACAGAGAGGAAGAGATCACAAGTAGGCAGAGAGGCAGGGGGGGGGGGGGGGGGGGGGAAGCAGGCTCCCCACTGAGCAGAGAGCCCGATGTGGGGCTCGATCCCAGGACCCTGAGATCATGACCTGAGCCAAAGGCAGAGGCTTAACCCACTGAGCCACCCAGGCGCCCCCAGTTCTGTGAATTTTAACACATATCTAGATTCCTGTGACCACCACTACATTTGGGATACCAACAGTAATATGACCCCAAAAACTCCCTTGTGTTATCACTTTGTAATCATTCCCTTCCCCATCCTAAGTCCTGGCAACTACTCTTCTACATGACTATAGTTTTGTCTTTTTAAGAATGTCATATATAGGGACGCCTGGGTGGCTCAGTTGGTTAAGCAGCTGCCTTCAGCTCAGGTCATGATCCCAGCATCCTGGGATCAAGTCCCACATTGGGCTCCTTGCTTGGCAGGGAGCCTGCTTCTCCCTCTGCCTCTGTCTGCCAGTGCTCGCTCGCTCTCGCGCTCTCTCTCTCTCTCTCTCTGACAAATAAATAAATAAAATCTTAAAAAAATAAAAGAATGTCATCTATATGAAATCAAATAATATGTAACCTTTTTGAGACTGGCTTCTTTCACTCAGTATGCCTTTGAGATTTGTCCACGTAGCTGCACTTACCAGTGGTTTGATACTATTAATTGCTGAATAGTATTCTGTTGTCTGGATATACCACAGTTTATTTATTCATTTACCCTCTGGACACTGAAGTTGTACCCAGTTTTAGACAATTATAAATGGACCTGCTAAATACACTCGTGTACAGTTTCTCTAGGCCAAATATCTAGGAGTGGGATTACTGGCTCAAATGGTAAGTGCATGTTTAACTCTATAAGAAATTATCAGATCATTTTCCAGAGTAGATGTACCTTTTTGCACTCACATTAGCAGTATGAGAGTTACAACTGACCTTTTGTTACTTTTTACTTTGAGATAATTATAGGATTCCATGGCATTGTAAAAAGTAACACAAAGATTCTGTATACCCTTCACCCGGTTCCCCCAATGGTGACATTTTGCATAATTATAGTACAATATCATGGGAAATTGACATTGATATGGTCTATTCACCTTATTCATATTTCACCAGTTTTATATGCACTCATTTGTATGTGTTTAGTTCTATGCAATTTTACTACATATGTAACTTCATGTGACCACCACCACAGTCAAAAAACAGAAGAGCTCCATCATGAGGATCCTTTGTCATACCTTTTGAAGGCAGAACTGCTTCCCTCTGTACCCTTCTCCCTAGTTCCTGACAACCACTAATCTGTTTTCCATCTCTACAATTTTGTCATTCATGCAATTGACTTTTGCAGATTAATTTGTATTCTTGCTAAACTTAAAAATTAGTTCCAGGAGGGTTTTTTGGTTTCTGTGTTTTTTTGTTTTTGTTTTTGTTTTTGTTTGGTAGATTCCTTGGGATTTTCTACATAGACAATCATGTTGTCTACAAAGAAGGACAGTTTTATTTCTTCCTTGTCAGTCTGTTCCCAGTGTGAGAAGGAAAGCGTTCACCTTCACCATTCTGTATGATATTAGCTATAATGGTTTGGAGGGAGGGATAATTTTTGTCAGGTTGAGGATATTCCTTTTATTCTTAATTTGCTGAGAGGTGTGTGTGTGTGTGTGTGTGTGTGTGTGTGTGTGAATGGATGTTAATTTTGCCAAACACTTTCTGAATTGTTTCATGAGTTTTTTCTTTACACTGAATATGGTGGATTTCACCAATTGATTTTTGAATTTTTTAATCAGTTTAGCATATCCAGGATAAACTCTACTTGGCTATGATGCATTTCCAGGATAAACTCTACTTGCTCTCCAGATTCAGTTTGCTAATTTATTTTAACAGCTTTATTGAGACATAATTTACATACCTTAAAATTCACCCCTTTTAAAGTGATCACTTCATGTTTTTAGTATATTCATATTGTTATGCAACTATTCCCATTATCTAATTTTAGACTGTTTTCATCGCTCAAAAAGAAACCCCATACTTAGTACAATCACTCCTCACTCCCTCTTTCCCCACAGCTCCAGGCAACCGCTAATACACCTTTTAACTCTCACACAGTATATCTCTTGTGTCTGACTTTTTTCGCTTAGCATAATATTTTCAAGGTTTATCCACGTTGTAGAATGTATCTGTACTTCATTGTTTAGTGGCTAAATTAATACTCCATTATATGGACATACATTTTGTTTATCCATTCACCAGTTGATAGACATGTGGTTGTTCCCACTTTTTGACTATTATGAACAATGTGGCTGTGAACATGAGTATTTAAGTTTTTGTATATTCATGTTTTCATCTTGCTTGGATTTATACTTAGGAGTAGAATTGCAGGGTCATATGATAACTCCATGTTTAACTTTTTGAGGAACTGTCAAGCTGTCTTTCAAAGTAGAAAGCCATTTTACCTTTCTGTCAGCAATGTATCAGAGTTCCAATTTGTCAGTGCTTATTATTGTTCCTTTTAAAAATTATAGCTATCTTAGTGAACGTGAAATATAACATAGTTTTGATTTGCATTTTCCCAATAACTAAAGATGTTGAACATATTTTCTTATGGATTTGGTGTTTTGTTTTTGTTTAGGATTTTTGCCTATGTATTCATGAGGGATATTAGTTCGTAAGGGTATTTGTCTTTTCTTATTTATTTTCTTCTGGTTTTGGTGTCAGGATAATACTGGCTTCATAAAATAACTTGGGAAGGGTTTCCTCCTCTTATTTTTCTGGAAGAGACTACGGAGAATTTGTGTTATTTCTTATTTAAATGTTTAGTAGAATTCACACATGAACAATCTGGATCTGAGGATTTATATTTGGGAAGGTCTTAAACTATGAATTCCATTTTTTAAAATAGTTGTAGGCCTATTCAGTTATCTTTTTCATTTTGAGTGACTTTTGGTAGTTTTCGAGGAATTGTTCCATTTCATCTAAATTGGTGATTATGTGTGTAGAGTTGTTTGGAGTATTCCCTTATTATCCTTTTAATGTCTGCAAGGTCAATGGTAATAACCCCTCTTTCATTCCAGATACTGTTAATCTGTGTCTTCTTTTTCTTTTCAGTCATACTAGAGACTTATTAAATTTATTGGTCTTTTCAAAGAACCAGCTTTTGGTTTCATTGATTTTCTCACTTGTTTTTCTTTTTTCAGTTTCATTAATTTTTGCTCTGATATTCAATATTTCTTTCCTTTGGCCTGTTTTGAGTTTATTTTGCTAAAATGGAAGCTTACTTGATTTGAGACCTTTCTTCTTTTCTAATTCAAACTCTTAATGTTATGTATTTCCCTTCAAGTACTGCTTCAGCTGCATTGCCCGTATGTTGATATGTTGTATTTTCATTTTTGTTCAGTTCAAATATTTTCTAATTTCTTTTTTTTTAAGATTTTACTTATTTATTTAAAAAAAAAGATTTTACTTATTTATTAGAGAATGATGAAAAGAACATGACTGCGGGGAGAGGCCCAGAGAGGGAGAAGCAGACTCCCCACTGAGGAGGGAGCCTGATGCAGGGTTTGATGCCAGGACACCCAGAATCACAACCTGAGCCAAAGGCAGGTACTTAACCAACTGAGCTACTCACGCATGCCTATCTTCTGATTTCTTTTGAGACTTCCTTTTTGACCTGTAGATTATTTAGAAGGATATTTAATTTTCAAGGGAGATTTTCCTGTTATCTTTCTGTAATTCATTTCTAGTTTAAATCATGGTCAAAGAACATACTTTAAATGAGTTTGATTCTTTTTTTTTTAAAGATTTTATTTATTTATTTGACAGAGAGAGATCACAAGTAGGCAGAGAGGCAGGCAGAGAGAGAGGAAGGGAAGCAGGCTTCCCACTGAGCAGAGAGCCCAA